GCTTACTATTTTTCTAAGGGCAAAAATCGTCCTCTACACGATGGTAAAAATCGTAGATCGCTAGGACTTTTCCATAAAAAGTTATTCGAAAAACGCCACTCTGCACTGTATTTATGGATCGATAGTAGGTACTTTTGCTTGATTACTTCTATGATATTTCGGGCTTCTCAGGCTGAAACAAATAGATTCAGATAGGGAAATTCTTAGTATAATAACCTTGATTTTTTGGGTGAGAAAAGTTGTATGAGTAATTGTGTTTGTTAGAGAAAAGTAAAAAAATGGCGAATATGCTATTTGCATGTAAAAATTTGAGTACATCGCTGTTTTTACTTGAGTCGAACTTTGAGGCGTTCGTATGTAAGAAACTAAATTTAGATAAATTTTTCTATGTCTGTTCTTCGATGTGCAAGTGTATTGCTTACACAAAAGAGAAAAACAAGACAAAATGTGCGTATGGAAAGGAGCAAAGGAAAAAGAAGAAAAGTAACAGAACAGAAAAATATCTAAATTTACTATAAGAAATCGCAAAAGCTGCGGGAACTCGATCAGAAACTTAGAATAAAATTAAAAAAAGTCCGCTATCGGATCTGCCTTGAAATTCGGCCTATATCACTGGTGCAGCGCGGCAAAAGCACTTCATTCTCTAATGTTATAGCTCAAAGCTTTTTTAGTTTGGACTTCCAGGATACGGACAACATACCATTGTATCCGGGCGATACCTTAGCATTAGTGCAGGCACTGCCCTTTTCCATTACCGAGGCAACCACCATTTTAAGAACGAAGATGAAGGATTCTAGATATATCAGTCCCATTTGCTGATTTCTTAGCTGCTAATGTATAAATGTTCATCATTGAGTAAAAAATTGAATTTCACATGAGAAAAAAAATTCATTAGTCTCTTTAGATCTTTTTCTTTAGACACAATCTTAATTGGACGCATTGATAATGATGACAATGTAGACGAGAATACAGAAAAGCTGAAATGGTTTGTCGAATCAAAATGGGTTTACGATCAACAAAATGAAACACTTTTGTCAATTGTTTCAAGTGTTAAAACCGGTTATGAACAACAAATATGGACGAAAAAAATATGTTTTTCCTTGAATGAACAACAAATGAAAATTATGAAGGGTGAAACCGTGCATTTATCGGGTCAGGAAGAAAATGACGATAATATTCAAGCACGCTTAGAGGAACTGAAATCAAAAATTACCGTGCCAAAACGCGAAGGACCTGAAATTATTATTAATAATTCAGAATTAAAATTAAGAAAGTACGAATGCGAAGGCGATTCATTGGTTCGTATGACAGGAAATAATATTACAGTAACAGCCAATCAAGATTCGTACGCCCGGGATGGCAAATTTAAGAATTATTTTTTCATTAAACAAATTATATTTTCGAAAAAACCGTTAGCAGTAGACAAACCCATATCTGTAGCACAAGTTTCTGTTCAATACCAAGATCATCAAACATGGAAAGAGTGCCAAGATGTAGCGATTGCGCCAACAACAAATACGCACGAAGATTACTCATTTTATTCGGATACTATTTTAAATTTGAAACCGGATACGCTAATGTCACTTACTGTACGTGCCTCAATTGTAGTAAACGGTAATCCGGGTAGAGATCGATCTGCTCGCCAACGAGCTCACAAGAGTTTACCTCAACCATTAAAATTAAAAATAAACGTAGTCGATAATTTAGGCGAAACCTGTAGTCTGATTGTGGAGCAGTGCAATAGCCCGTTGAATATTGAAACAAAAGAATCGTATTTAAAGAAACTGGATATACCTGATTTAATTGCATTTGTTTATGCTGATGACTGTGATAGAGATGAACGAATTTTCACTGTTATATACTTGGAGAAAGATGTGCAACATCTAATTATTCGCTTCAGCTACGGAACATACTTTACTTGGGAAAAAAAATACATGAAAACGTTAGAATTCAATGCCAAGCAAAATAGTACAACCGAATTGGAACTTGATTCAATGAACAAAACATCGGAGAGTGACGAATGGAAAACTACAGCTTTATTTGATTCAGAAACATCGCTCTTATATGGATTGAGAATACAGTTAAAGACAAAAACTTCCAAAACAGAGGAAACCATTTTGTTACCAGTAGACAAAATAAAATAATATATACTAAATATCAGCTAAATGGAGCACGGCTATCGTTCGTCAGGCAAAACTCTTCCTCTTCAGGAAAGAAACATGTTGCAGAAAAATAATGAATTTACTTCAAAAAACTATCTAATCATCATGAGACATGATGGCCTGTATTTTCGTCACCCTCACCCATAACAATTGATTCTTGAGTGTAAATACAATCATTTTGAAGTGTATGCGTACGTTGCCATAAAACTGCCACTTTGATGATTAATTTGTTCACATCTTCTTATAAACTTTTCGAGGGAGCTTAATATATTTTGATCCTATCGTCATAAAGTGTTGACTTTGCATGTTGCAGAAACTTGAGAAGAGCATGTTGATGTTGTTAGTCGAGACACGCTGCTTCACTTGAAACTTAATTAGGGGACGTCAAACCATGGTCGATTACCTATGTTTCCATTCGTTTCGGAATTGCCACACTTGGAGAAATATTGATTCTGGGACTCTCAGAAAATCTGATGCCACGTCTGAACCGGGAGAAAGTAAGAGATTGCTTAGTTCCATTTTAGGGAAGACACTTTGGATTATTCATTTAAAAAATGAAAATAATACGAGTTACATTACATCTCCATTTTACATAAATATTTTTCCATAAAGCTACTTACTATTTCTGAAAATAAGATGAGTGAACAAAACGCTTATAACCTCGGAACGAAAAGATCTAGAGACCTGGAGTTTTCACCATTGGAAAGAGCAGCTCGTCGGACGTTTATCCATGTAGGAAAAATGCTTTTCTCGAAGAGAAAACATAAATCTCTCAAATACATTCTGAATGATTTCATCACTCATCAACTACTACATGTGTGCCTGGTAGCTTAGTTGGTTAAAACGTCAGGTGTACTTCTAATCTCAATTCCGAGTGCGCTAGTCAGCGAGTTCGATTCTCGTTAGCTACATATTCTTTTTTTCTTATTTTTGAAGCTAGCTTAGAGTGCCCGGTTAATCGGGCGCTTCAATCACCCAGTTAACCGGGCACTCCAACCGCCCCGTTAACCTGTAGGTTAACCTAGTTAATAACCTCCCTCGTACCAAATATCTTTCATCTTTGGATCTAGCTTAACCGGTCGGTTAACTGGGCGGTTAACCTAGATGTCAACCTCCCGTTCCTACTCGATTATGATAACCTACTGCTCGGTTTACTACTAGGTTGGAGCTAGGTAACTAGGTAAAAAGGTACATTTAGCTAGATCCATCAAGTAAATCAAGTAACCGCCCGGCTACGTCTGTGTTGGAACTAGATCCACTCCACAGAGAATTTTTGCTTGGGTTGTTTCAACGTTACAAATAGCTACCGTGTGATTAATGTCATGTACATGTTTAGCTAGTTTCAAGCTTTCATCTTTCTTTCTAATTGCTCGTTTGTGATCGATCGTACGCATACTACATGTTCGTGCAGTTTTTTCACCGAAATAATATTTATCACAATCCTTACAACTGATTTTATAGACTAGCTTTTTTGTTAATTTTTCTAGGTCATGCCCTTTTTGAAGAGGCAAGAATACATTTCGTATCGTTTCCGAAAAGCAAAATTCAGTTTAATATGAGGCAATAGTCTACGACAAATTTTTGTAATACGTTGTGAACATATAAATGTTTCTTGGGCATGATACGATAATACGGAAAATACTGTTTTTGATGTCGTCTTCTATTATGACTGCTGTGGCTGTTGCAAGATACGTTTTGTGCTTATTTCACCTTCTCTAATATCACGTGTGATAATATGTGGTGGATGGCCGTTTGATGCTAATGTTAGTTTTAATCGATCAATTTCGATTTTAATACTTTGTAGCGTTGTATGAATTCTCATAATTCTAATAACCAATGTTTTTATAAGTCCAAGTTTATACCTCCGAGATTGATTAGATTCATACAGCATGTATAAATGAATGTGAGTCAGTTTACGGTAAATAATTGTTGTGTATTTATCATTATCACGGATAACTAGTTCATTCAAAAAGGATAAACGTTGATTCGATTCAAATTCGACGGTAAATTTAATACTTGAGTGCCAATTATTAATACGTACTAAGAATTTGAGGATTTCCGATTGAGTAATGGCGAAGACGCAGAATATATCGACTACGTAACGCAACCACAAGATAGGCTTATTCGTAGAGAAACTATTTAACTTGAGTTCTACCTTGGACATAAAGAGATCTGCTAAGACCGGGGCCAAAGGACTATCCATGGCCACCCCATCCACTTATATATATCGATCGCGTTCATAAACCTGAATGGTACGTTACATACGCATAATTGTAGTAACTTTTTCATTTGTTCTTGACTGAGTATCGTATCTATTGATTGGCATCGTTTTTAGTTCTCTTATACAACATATTTAACGCTATCTCAATCGCTTCATTCGTCTGAACATTAGTGTAGAGAGATTCGACATCGAATGAACATAATATATTGATTTTTATCAGGGTTTAGTTTAACAATAGATTTTATAAATTCAGACGAATCTTTAATATATGAGAAAGATGAAGTTCGATTATTAGATAATATCTGTGTTAAGTAAGGAATTCTTCGCCGCTAATATTTCTCACAAACTTTTTCAGGGTCTATCTCATCAGCGCCTGTGAAATATCATGTAAATGTTTACAAATTGTTTATAATTTTGTCGTATCGATCCGTTATTTAAGTTTTGAAATTTATTATGATGAATTTTTGAGAGGCGATCGCGTTCAAACATAGAGATATCGTAATCGAATTTTTTAATGTTAATAAAATTCATGTCACTTAATTCACGTTGTAGATAATCAATACCGTCTTTCACTTCTTTACCTAGCTTTAACATGTCTTTGTAACGGCTTTTATATTCTTGAAGAATGCAATCTCACACTATATTCGACTACTGTTGTTTATTTCGAATTTTAGATTTTAATAATTTGAATTTCATAAAAGTAGAAGTAAGATTATATAACAAACAATAGCCTGGAAATTTATCCATGAACATATGAGTAGAAAAGAAAAAGAACAAACATGCTTTTCGGGAACAAATCGAGAAACAAAGGTTAGATTAGTCTTTTCGTATATAAATCTTGTAAATGTTTCATTAGTGTTAAAGTGTTAAATTAGTCTGAAGATGATGTCAGAAGGGCATCGAAAGCTCGCAAGTAAACAAAAGTTTTTATTGAAAATGATATTCATAGCAGTGTTATATTTCTTATATTCTCGATTATTTATTATTGCTCTACCTTCTGAGTTTATTATTAAAAAGTAAGTTTTAAACTTGCTCTTTCGAATCTCAAGAACAATTTCTTCACTGACTGTAGCTACGATACTGACACGACGATTTAATTGTACTTTCCTGTTAATATAATCATCATCATCTTCATCATTTAGTAGATAGTATGAAGTTGAGCGTGTAACCAACGGTAGGACACAGAGGTAACCAATTACAACTGAAATCATCTTGTTTTGTCGAACTTTTTGAGGGGAGTGCTTGGATAAGAAAACGAAAGTTATATAGAACTGCGCTCGTCTCTATGGACTTCCATTGTTGTAGAAAATTTTGATTTCTTAATTATATTCAGTTAAAAAACACATTCAATTATCTATTATGTTTTTATCTACTTAGGGCATACCAAAAGTAGTGTGGGAGGTACTTTATTTTCTTATAGAAAGCTTCAAAAAAAGTTCTTTTTCTATGAACAGATAGAGCGTCTTTCGCTCTATTTTTCTATGCTATTTGATCACTATTCAGCTAATATCATAATAATAAAATTGCGATAAGATCAGTTTCTTTCGCATATGTGCTGGTAGCATGAATGCTCGTAAATACTTTTTGCATAACATTTGACAGCAACAAGATAGAGAAGTGCGGTTTTCGCCGTTGGAAAGAGGAGATGAAGACGCATCGAACTGTATATTACTGATTTTTTTAATATAATTTCCGAAGTGTTTTTATTCAATTTTCTAACCGTCGGAAAAATTTTTGTTCATGAAAAAAAGCAAAAACAAAAAAGTTGATAGAAAATCGTAGTAGAGGTTCGTCTAAAATACGTACTATCCCCAAATAAT